CGCGAGCGCTGGCCAGGGGCTGTGAAGGTGGGGGGCCACCGAGAACCTGCCGCCTGGTTCCTGCCCGCCGCAGCACCCACAGGGTGGGAGGCTTCAGGGCTCTCCCTGGGAAAGCGTAGCCCCCGGACACCGCGGTCCTCTCGTCCTCAAGGCCTTCTCTTTCAGGACAAGTACCTGGCGGACATGGACGAACTCTTCTCTCAAGTGGATGAGAAGAGGAAGGTGAGTGTGCCCCAGTGTGTGCTTCTGTCTCTCACCGTAAACCTGCTTTATTCCGCGCTACCGCCTCTTCCATCTCCTCCCTTCCCCCTCCAAGCCGGCGCCGCCTCCCAGCCCTTTGTTTTTGGATGCTGGGCTTGCCCAGCCTCTCCTGACCCAGCTCTGCTTCTCTCGAGCCAGAAGCGGGACATCCCCGACTACCTGTGCGGGAAGATCAGTTTTGAGCTGATGCGAGAGCCCTGCATCACACCCAGTGGGATCACCTACGACAGGAAGGACATCGAGGAACATCTCCAGGTACCACTGGCTCGGGGGCAGCGGGGGCTTCCCAGGACCTTGCCCGCTGTCCTCCTCCGCCTGTCTCCTGCCTGCCCAGCTAAGGGCTCAAAATCCTCCTTGGGTTTAGTCCCAGTTACCTGCCTGGGCGGCTCCCTGCGGAGGTGGGGGAGCGGGCAGGAAGGCAGCGGGCTCTGCCGGGCCCTGCCTAAAGCGGAGGCGGCTGCTGGCAGGGGGTCTTGTGCCTTGACCCGCTCTCATGCTGCTGGGAGGCACCATGGGAGGGTGGCGGGGGATCTCCCTCCACAACGCTCTCCTCTCCTCTCCTCTCCCCCATGCTGTTGGCCCAGATGCCGGCACGGCGCTGGCCTGGCGGCTGCCTGTGCCCCGAGGCTGAGGCCAGGCGCGTGGAGTAACCAGTTCGCGGCCGTCTCCTCCCTTGCAGCGCGTGGGTCATTTCGATCCGGTGACGCGGAGTCCCCTGACGCAGGACCAGCTGATCCCCAACCTTGCCATGAAGGAGGTGATAGACGCCTTCATCTCGGAGAACGGCTGGGTGGAGGATGACTGAGGGGCCAAAGGGGCAGCGCTGGCCCACCCGGACCCCCCCCCGGCCGCGGCGGTACAGACAGCTCTCGCCGGGCTGGCACCATGCCTTACTCGCTCTCCGGCTGTTCTCCCTCCACTCCGGGTGCCTGGAGACCCAGCGGCCGTCTCCCCGCGGA